CCCTCTACACCGACGGCTCCTCCGCGACCAAAGCGTGCGGGGGAGGGGTAGTCCTCATTACTCCCGAGGGCTTCAGAGCTTACTATGCAATCCGCTTCTCCTTCAAAGTCTCCAACAACGAGGCCGAATATGAGGCCCTCCTATGTGGCCTTCGGCTGGCTGCCAACATGAGGGCTCGGCAGATCCACATCAAATGCGACTCCAAGTTGGTCGTTGGCCAAATCTCCGAAGAATATGAGGCCAAGGAGGGGAGAATGAAACAGTACAAGGAAGCGGCCAAGGAGTTGCTTAAGGTATTTGAGGCACACTCTCTCACTCAAATACCGAGGGCCCAGAACTCCGAGGCCGACATATTATCTAAGCTCTCGGCCGACTCCCCCGAGCACATCTCCAAAATTGCCAAAATCGAGGAACTCAGCCTCTCAAGCATCCATGCAAGCCCCGTTATGAACATACAACAACAACAGGAGGATTGGATCTCAGATATCACCGCCTTCATCTCCACAGGGCAGCTACCCGAAAATGAGGCCCGCGCTAAACTAGCAAAGCAGAGGGCTCCAAGCTACACCATCGAAGATGGAAGGCTCTACAAACGATCTTACAATGGCACGCTACTTCGGTGCCTTCATTCAGATGAAGCCGAGGTCGCAATGGAGGAAGTGCACAGTGGCACTTGCTCAACTCACCAGGGACCCTTCTCCATGTCCCGAAGGCTCATTCTCCAGGGCTATTTCTGGCCAACCATGGCCAAGGATTGTGCTGACCTTGCCCGGAGGTGCACCGCATGTCAACATTTCCAGAAGGCTCCCGGCAGGCCAGCGGTCAACTATGCCCCCATCAGCACCTCTGTCCCCTTTTCTCGATGGGGGATAGACCTTGTGGGCCCTCTGCCGAGGGGTACCTCCAACGTGGCCGTCGACTACTTTACCAAGTGGGTGGAGGCTGAACCACTCGCCAGCATCACAGAGGCGAAGTGCCGTCACTTCGTCCTCAAGAACATCCTCACAAGGTTTGGCGTCCCCCAGCAGATCATCTCTGACAATGGGACACAATTTGAGGCAGCCCCCTTCTGTGCCTTTCTGGAGGCATGGGGCATCAAACACACCTTCTCCTCCGTTGCCTACCCTCAAGGCAACGGGCAAGTAGAGAATGCCAACCGGACCTTGCTCGAGGGCCTCAAAAAGAAGCTAGAGGCCGAGGGCGGTGGCTGGGTGGAAGAACTCCACAACATCCTTTGGGCCTATCACACCTCCCCTCGGCGAGCAACAGGTGAAACACCCTTCTCCCTCTGCTACGGTTTTGAAGCCAAAGCTCCTACGGAAGTCACCCTTCCCACCCGAAGGGTGATCCAATATGACCCCGAGGTCAACGACAGCAACATGGCCCTCGACCTCCACCTCATTTCAGAACGCCGGGAGCAGGCCTTCATCCGGGCAGAAAACTACCGAAGGCAAGTTAAAAGCTACATCGACGCCAAAGTTCGCACCCGAGAATTTCAAGTGGGGGACTATGTCCTCCGGAGGAGGGAAGCCACCCAACCAACCGAGGGAGGAAAAATGGCACCAAAATTTGAAGGCCCCTACATCACAGCAGCCATCATCAAACCCGGGACCTACAAGCTCAAACGACCCAATGGGAAAGAAGTCCCTATGCACTGGAATGTACACCATTTAGTTAAATTTTATCAATAATGTAAGAGCGGCCAAGCCCTCATAACTAGTGAATGTACTATCCTATGGCCCAAGGCCTCCAATTTCGAAGAATGAAGATACATTCAAGACATCAAGCCCTCATACTGACTACAGGCCCCAGGCCTCACCACGAGAAGAACCCCCTCCGGCACCAAGTGCCGAGGGAGGACACCATCAACACCTACAACAAACAGTGAAAACACCACGTGTTTTCAGTCAAAGACCCCTCGGTACCAAGTACCGAGGGAGGGAACTCCTATCACCAACAACAAGGAACGCCATGTGTTTCATTTCCCTTCGGCACCCAGTGCCGAGGGTACATTCCCACCTTCATCATCAAAAAAGAAAAGATGAGAACACCAAGTGTTCCTACAGAAGACCCTTCGGCACCCAGTGCCGAGGGTACACCTCCATCATCAAACATCGAAACGAAGAAAAACACCAGAATGTTTTAAAGAAGACCCCTCGGCACCCAGTGCCAGGGATATGCTCTCCTATCAACTTCCAAACATCTGTTGGGAAACACCAAGTGTTTCATTTGAAGACCCTTCGGTACCAAGTACCGAGGGTAGACGCCTACATCAACTACGACAAAAGAGAACACCAAGTGTTCCTACAGAAGACCCCTCGGTACTAAGTACCGGGGGCTACACATCGAAACTAACACCAAGTGTTGTTTCTAAAAGCCGTACCCCACGAGGACGCATATACCGAAGGCGCCACCATCGGTGCCGGCGGCACGTAGTGCCCCCGGCCATTTGCAACCAGTGTGCAAATGAAAACCCTTCCTTGAAACGCTTTCCGCGTCACTACCCCCAGGGTATGACAGGCATGAGAAATGCCCAGGATTCGACTTTCAAAAACGGAACGCTATCCGCGTCACTACCCCCAGGGTATGACAGGCATGAGAAATGCCCAAGATTCGACTTCCAAACCGAAACGCTCCCCGCGCCACCACCCTAAGGGTGTGGCAGGCCACGGACTATGTCTAGCGCCGAGGGGACGACTTTCAAAAATGAGGCGCTTTCCGCGCCATCCCCCAAGGGGAGGCAGGTTACGGACCACCATATCTTGTGCCCAGGAAACGTCCCTCGATCCCCTCAGAACTCGGAAGGTTAACCCGAGGGAGGAGAGCCATTGGTGTATTCTGATGGTCTCCTAATAGGCCCAGCCTTACCAAGAAACCAAGTTTCTTGATGCCTTCCCTTCACCACCAACCAAAAAAAAGGGGGGGGGGGGGGGGTTAAGGGGAGTAGACTCAGCGAGAAATCAAAGAGTACACTCCAACAGATCACAACAAGCCGAGGGCTCCCCACGGGAACACCTCCGGTAACTAAAGGCTCCTAAGGGAAAATCTACACTTAGAATATTTTCTAAGTCCTACATGTTTTCTCCCCGGTCAACTACTCATGCATCAAGGAGGGATGCCATCTCCCGAAGGCTCCCAAGGGAAAATCTACACTTAGAATATTTTCTAAGTCCTACATATTTTCCCCCCGGTCAACTACTCTTACATCAAGAAGGGATGCCATCTCCCGAAGGCTCCCAAGGGGAAATATACACTTAGAATATTTTCTAAGTCCTACATATTTTCCCCCCGGTCAACTACTCTTACATCAAGAAGGGATGCCATCTCCCGAAGGCTCCCAAGGGGAAATATACACTTAGAATATTTTCTAAGTCCTACATGTTTTCCCCCCGGTCAACTACTCATGCATCAAGGAGGGATGCCATCTCCCGAAGGCTCCTAAGGGAAAATCTACACTTAGAATATTTTCTAAGTCCTACATGTTTTCTCCCCGGTCAACTACTCATGCATCAAGGAGGGATGCCATCTCCCGAAGGCTCCCAAGGGAAAATCTACACTTACAATATTTTCTAAGACCTACATATTTTCCCCCCCGGTCAACTGCTCATACATCATGGAGGGTGCCATCTCCCGAAGGCTCCCAAGAGAAACTGCACTTAGAAATCTTTCTAAGTCCTACATATTTCACCTTCAACTTATAAAGGGACCCAATAGCCGAAGGCTACCTATCAATCGAGGGCTACAATACACAAGGAATCAACACTCAAGAAAATTTCCTAAGTCCTAAAGAATTGGCCCCCGGCCTACTCAATATTTCAGTTGAGGCTCCACAGTAGCCGAAGGCTACGTGACATACTACACTTGCAAAAAATCTCTAAGTCCTGTGCATTGGGCCCTCGGTCCAACGTTCACGCATCAGGAAGGGATGCCATATCCCGAAGGCTCTCAAGGGGAAATCTGCACTTAGGAATTTTTCTAAGTCCTAGGACTTGGGTTACTACAAACGCCCGAAGGCCTCATGCTGTGCCACACTTAGAAAAAAATTTCTAAGTCCTAATTGCTGCTGAACCCTCGGTTGCATATCCATCAGAGGGTGCCCAGCTACCGAAAGCTTCCGGGGGCAAGCCACAATCAGAAAACATTCTAAGTCCTAAAACATACAATCAAAGGAGAAGGTATACATTCAAAACATAAGGCGCATTCAAATATGAAGAGCCCGGAGGCAGCATGCATTCATCAAAAACAGGAGTGAGTGTAAAATTACAAACAGGCCGAAGCCGAAGGATAAATATTGTTCATTACAAGATATGTTCACACATTCCTAAGTACAAAATTACTCAACAATTTCGACGGCATTCCCGGAGGCGTCCTCTACTGCAGGCTTGGACACGGCATCATCACCAATCTCCTCCTCTTCGTCACTGCCCTCGGCCATCAGCAGGGAGTCTTCCAAGTCAGGCCTCGCAACACCTTCAGGGAGGGGAACCCTGGGGTCTGGCTGAAGGGGAGGAAGGCCATAGGATGCCGGATCAAAGGCCTTCGGGTCCACCCCAAAATGCCGGGACAGCCTTCGATATACGAGGGCCTGAGTAAAGTACTCACTCCCGTCATAATATTCCTTCCCCTTTCGGGCCAACCACATGGCGCCTGGGCCTTTCACCCATTCGTCCACCGAAGCTTCCACCACCGAAGCCACCCATTTTTGCCGACCTTCGGCTTTCCATCCCTCTTCGGCAAAAGTAGCAACAGCCTCCTCCCGGGCTTCGGCGACAGCTTTGATCCGGGCCTCCTCGGCATCCTCCGCGGCTTTCTTGGCAGCATCTGCCGCAGCCTTCTCCGCCTCTGCTTTACCTTCGGCCCTGGCCACCGTCTTGGAGCCCTCGAGGATGTCTTTGAAAGCCTCTTGCTCAGCTTTGCGAGCGTCCTCGACCTCCTTGAGCTGCCTTCGGGCCTCGGCCAGTACTTCAGCGGCCTTCTTCTTCTCTGAGTCATGCTGTTCTATCCTCTGGACCAGCTCGCCAAGGCCAAGGCCAAGGCTCGCCTGAAAGCAAACATGAATTACCGGAGGGTTAGCCACTACTCATGTAAAGAATGAAGTTATCTACAAAAGAGGGGGAAGGAAACTTACCGTAACTGAGGCCATCAGAACCTTGGAGCAGAGGACATCGTCGGCCTGACGGGAGAGCACGGACTTATCGGTCGGAGGGGTGGCACCCCTCAAAAACTCCTTCGGGTTCAGGGTCCCGTGCATGATAGCAGTCCCCTTCGTAATGGAAAATTGGACTTTGTCCAGGGGCCATGTCAGATCAGTCGCCTGACCCGAAGGCTTGGGAGGAGAAGATTCTTCTACGACCACAACGGGGGCTTCCTTCGACCCCGGGGCCCCCTTCTTCTTCTTCCCCTCCGATTGTGCCGGGTCCTTCCCATGCCTTTTTCTCTTCAGCTCCAGACCGGGGGAGCCCCCGACGGCGGCCTCCGATACGGGCCCCGCCTCCTTGGCCTCTTCGACCGCTCCCGCCTTGGGGAAGATCTCATCGACCGCCCTCTGCTGTGCAGGGGCCTCCTTCTTCTGCTCCTCTCGGGCAAGTTGCCGCTTCAGCTTGACCAGGTTCCGAGCGTCCATGTCTGGTCCTGAAACACAAGAAGGCACACAGGGGTTAGTTCACTATTACAGCAAAGCACAAAATATGAAGGGGGAAGAAAATTTTCTAAGCATGAGAAATAAAGCCTTCGACATTACAACAACCTTCAGCACTCTCATATACGCGGTCAATCAGGGGGTAGCCTTCCTCCTTCTCCCCCATTAGCCGGTACCGACGGAAGCCAAGCTTGTACAACTCGCTGGAGAGCGTTGCGCCTTTGATGGACACATGTTTATCGGAACCCTCCGGCTTCTTGGACAACACCCGCCCATTCTTTTCGAGGGCATACCCTTCTGCCTTCGGGTGCCGCCGAAACCTGTCACCAAGCGGAGCGGAGAAGGGGTTCTCGGCCAACCGGATATAGCAAAAGTTGTCTTTCCACCCCTTGTGAGACGAAGGCGCCTCATCAAAGATCCTGAACTTCGGGAGTTGCTGCAGATTACCATAGCCCCCGGCGTTCGAATGCCCCCCCGGCATAAGTTGAATGACAGGAAGAATTGCTCCAGAGTAGGGGGGACCCTTCGGCTTAGGCACAGTGACAGGAACCCTGCCAGATATGAGTGACTGTTCGGGGTCAACTGGCAGGGGGCTAGCTTTACAAAACAGAGGTACTCCAACACAAAAGGATGAAGGGGAAACCTGAGACCCAGCTCCACCGAAAGCAGATGCACGGCAAAGCAGCCGTCGGGGGCACGAAGGAGCACGTCATCCGGCTTTGGCTCTACCACTTGCGCCGAAGGCCCTACCAAAAATTGCACCGCCATCATCTCCCCTCGGGTAGCTTTATTCTTGACCTCCAAGGCGGCCGTATTCAGGAAAGAATAGCCCTCGGGGAGTCCCAGTGGCTGGCCAGCGTCGACGGCAGCTTGCTTCTTCTTCGGAGCCACCCTCGCCTTCTTTCTCTTCTGTCCTGGGGCCACACTGAGGGGTACAACGTCTATAGGCCGGGAGCTCCCAGCTTCAGTACCACACCGAGGGGGAGGGATAGCTACAGTTACCTTCAGGCCCTCCTTCTGGGCCTCGTCCTCAGCCACTTGACAGGCGATGGCAAGCTCCTCATCCGCGTTCACCTGCTCGAAGTCTTCGGCCTCGAGCTCAAGTTGAAGGTCACTCTGTACCGCCTCGGCTACGGCCCTATCATCAATGGCCGAGAGCTGCTCGCTCGAGGATTCCACATCAGACGGCACTTCAACGTTCACTGAAGCCTCCCTGGAGATGTCTTGGGAATCACTAGCTGACGACATCTTTCTAAAAGGCGAGGGGTCGGGAAACTCGTATGAAAGGGGGGGGGGGGGGTTCCTGAAGGGTCCTAAAGACTAACCCTAAGGCCAAAAGAAATACTCAAATGGAGCTAAGGGTGAAGGGAGAACTGACCTCTGAAAGCTGAGTTTTTGACCGAAAGTTTGAGTTTCTCTCTCTAGAATTTTTTGCAGAGCTTCGCTACAGATGTGGATGCGTAAAGGAGGAATGGCCCTGGCTTGGGGTATTTATAGGCTCCCAGATCCGGTCTTGGGCCGAGATCCGGGCTCCCAGCAGCCAAAGCCATCATTACGCACCGTCGTTTCACCCAACCGGTGACGCCGCCCACGAACAGCCAGCCATCACACGCCACGTGTGCCGCCCCCCCCAACGGCTATATCCTATCGTTACATATTCCAACGGCTATATTTCCAATGGCTATATTCTGGAAGCCCCCGGGTTTTCTACTTCACTCCACTCCATCAAGGATAACCTCCGGGTACACTCACTCAGAAGTGCCCCCGGGGTGTGCCCCACACAGCACATAACAGACGCCTTCGGGATCACTCCTTCAGAAACCCAGGGCTTCATATCAGGGCATCCCTCGGGGATTCCCCCTCAGCACTGCAAAATCGGGTAGCCCCCGGGGAGTTGCCTCATTGACGGATGACCCACGGCACACAGGTAATGGGAGCCCTCGGGTATCTTCATCACCAACTAATCAACAAACAGTGGACCCCCCGGTAACAACTCCATTGCCGCCCTCATCCAGCAGGCCCTCGATCCCCGAATTGAGGGGCTCCCCTTCGGCGCCACCAGGACATCAACAGCAAGCCTTCGGCTAATCAACACAGGAGCCCTCAGAAGAGAGAGCCTTCGGCACTCCCGTCATTCTCCATTTTTTACCAAGGTTTGACATTTTCGATTCATCATTGGGGGAATTCGGTGCACTCTTTTTCTCTCATTAGGATTTTTTCCCAAAGGGTTTTTCCTGATGAGGTTTTTAACGAGACATCCCCCCAAAATGAAACGAAAAACGTCAGCCTTCGGCCCACAAAAGCAACGCAACTACTCTACTCCTTTTCACCACTTTACAAGTGCCTCAAGGAGTGGGGGACTGGAGGACCCCCTCGGGAAAATCATTAAATTACAAAAGATGTAGAAATTCCAACAAACAACAAAGCAAGCCCTCAAGTCCCGACATGTGGGTAACTGAGGGACTGCCTTCGGCAGGGACATAAAAGCAACAACTCCTCACCAACTTCAGAGATCACGACGGGACAACATCAAAGGGCAATCACAAATTACTCCTTTTCCCTCAAGTACCTTTCGGCAAAAGGAGTGAGGGACTCCTGATGGAGTATATGGCCCGGGAACCCCCGGCCCACAAACTCCTACTACTCCAGCGAAGGCCCAACAGGCCCAAAAGGCCCAACATGCCCAAATCACAGCGCCCGGAGTACCAAGCAGCCCGCACTACGCGCCAGGGGTGACTTCGGCCCCCTGGCCGAAGGGTCTAAACTCTCACAGAACGGGTTTCTCAAGCAAACTAAGAAACTGGGAGAAAACGGCGAAAACAGTAGCCCTCGGTACTGTGAGCCCTCGGCACCAAGGTGCCCTCGGTTGGAGGAGCCTTCGGCTACTGCTCTGTGGCCGAAGGCATCTCACTCGACAAGATATCCGCCTCACATGCGTACAGATCACCGTACCCTGCACAGACGTCCCATCCAACAGCCGCATTAAATGCGGCCACATGCGGCTGCCAGCGCCAACCAGTTGAGGTGACCCCTCGGCCAATGAGCGCTTGACACGTGTCCCTGCCCGGCATTTATTACTACTATAAATAGCACCCCATTTCCCCATTTGTAACGACGCTGAAAACGGCATTCATACTGAATACACTCTCTCTCTCTACATTTACTTACTTGCTCTGACTTCTCTCTAAGTTATTCCCCGTAATAACCCTTCGGATATATACCCCCGGGTAGACTATCCATCAACATTGTTTTTCTTGATTCCTACGAAAGTAATGTGAGAGACACTAGAGGCTCTCAATGAAAGCACCAATGTTGGTCCAAAATAGGACGCTCGTAGGCTTTTAGGAAAGCTACGTAAGAACACTCAAGCAGGAATTAGGAAAGTACGAATATGGAAAGTTAGCCAGAAATAGCATGTAGAATTCGCTTTTTTAGTTTGAATTACAAAGTGCCTTTTATAGGCGTATACAATTCGTAACCGCTACCGATAATAATGACTAATTAATTACAACATTAATACAGAATTAAATACATAATTAAACGCGCATTAATTGCTTGACTGTTACTTTTCCTGGCTGGGAGGTCGGCCGGACTGGCAGGCTCCCCGCTGGGCTGGCAGGCAGGCTCCAAGTTGTGGACTTGGATCCACGAGTTCAAGTTCGGGGCTTGGGCTGATTAGGCTCCGGGCCTAGTCCCATTACTCCATCAAGTATAATTCAATCAAGAAAAAGCATCTCACGAAAAGGAAAGTGGGAAGTTGTTTGAGAACCGGAGGGAGTATATTTGTTTTACTCCGATTTTTTTTTTTGAAATATGAAATCGGGGCTCGCATAGAAAAACTAATAATTTTGTCGTCATACTTGTATCATTTATCAAAACATCTCACGCCTTATCAAAGCTTTTTAAGTGACAGATTTTGGTTAAATTCAGGTGAAAAATTGGAAACGAGTTAAAGATTGCTTTAAATTGTTTTTCATTTTTACTATTACATAAAAAGTAGTTATCTTACTAAAACACTATCAATTTTTACTTTCTCAGAAATACCTTTTTCTGAAGCACTACCAATTTTCACCTTTAAACACTTTCTCCAAAATTACTTACAAAATCTTTTTTAAGGAACCTAATCCTTCGAACTCTTAAGTGCCTTAATGGTTCTTTTGTTTTGTTAATTAATAATAATTTATTATTGTTATACTCATAATGCACACCTAATACTAATTCAAGCTCCACGTGCAGTAAATCTTTGCAAAGAAATATTTAAACATAGCATATTCAAAATTAATATTGCGCGACTAACGTCTGGCATACCACTAATCAATGAATACGTAATCAATTGTGATGACTAAAATGATAGTGGTAGTACTTTCTAGATTTGATTATTGATTTACTAACAAGACTTTTTACGTTCATAAAGGAGCTACATTTTCTCGAATTAAAAAAAATGTTCTGTTCCTTTCTAACCTTTTAGACTAAAATTACGTTCTCGAATTCACTGGGCCGGTACAGAGAATATTTTTGGAAAAAATTTATACAAAATTGTTTACACTGAAAATATGGACATTTTTTAAATTTAGGTTGGGTCAGGACCAGAGTTGACCCTCCCCTGGCTACGTCCCTGCTCCAAGCTACCTCTACACATATAAATATACATACACATATGCATAATCAATTGTTAAAATACTTAGGGTACATGTGATTTCTTCGTAGAAATTAAAGAAGAGTTGCATCATGCAACTTGGGATTTTATAATGGACACTAAAAAGGTTTGAAACACATCCATGCTTCTTATGAACACTGGAGTAAAGGAACATACACATGCAGATAGAGAACAAAAAAACATTGTATTCCCTTCAATTCTATTCTCCTCACTCATGTGTAAATTAATGGCATGCTGCAGTTTCTGCTGATGGCTCCTCTAGTTCAATCCCCTCACTTGCAAGCCTCTCCTCCTTGTACACATACCATTTTGAGCAGAACAAGAAAAGCATCAAGTTAATCACACTTAGAAGTGATAACAACCAATAGAAGTCATAGAGCCTCCCTTGGTTAAGGTTATTAGCCAGCCATGGCCTTTTGTGTCCTGTCACCTTATGCACAATGGTAACCAAGATTGAGCTAAAGAAGAACCCCAGAGATATAGTGCTAAGGAAAAGCCCTGTGCTCATGGTTTTCATCCCCTTAGGACACTCCCTTAGGAAGAAGTCAAGCTGTCCTATGTAAGTGAAGGCCTCTCCTGCACCAACTAGGAAGAACTGTGGGACCAGCCAAAACACACTCCTAGGTACCGTGGCGTCCACGTGGCCGGTTGAGTGGGCAACCTTTAGCCGTTTGACTTCGGTCAACGCAGCGGCTACCATGGCAAATATTGAGAACACTAGACCAATGCCAATTCGCTGCAATGGGGATAGACCTTGGGGGTTCTTTAGGAAGCGTCGAGCGACGGGGACCACAACACGGTCGTATAGCGGGACGGTCAACAGGATGCTCCCGACGAAGAAGACGGTCAACGAAGCGGCGGGAATCTCGAAGGATTTTCCGATGTGGCGGTCCATGGTGGTGGCTTGTGACACGGAAAATGTTGTCATTTGAGCATAGACAGTCCAAAACATTATGGTCGTGGCCCAAGTGGGCAACATTCTGATCAGTTGTTTGACCTCTTCCACGTCTGTTAACGTTGCTAGAGACCATTTGCTTTCCACCGTAACTGCATCGCCTCTGATTGCCGCCTTGTCCAAGAACCTGCAGAACAAAGTATAGATGAGAGACCTAATTGATCACACTACAAATTTAATGCAAGCATTTGTTTGCCTTTCTCAATATGGGATTGGATGGAATTTAAATTTTCAATTCAGAATTCTAAAGATTCTGTACAACCTCAAATATCCCCAATGAAAAGTTGTGTACATTTCACTAAACTTTATGTGTCCCAATTTTCTATAATTTTTAATAGATTATCTTAAACACATGCTAATCTCTATGATTTCTTAACTTTACACAACATTACATGCATGCTTATCAAAATCTCTGCCATTTACCCTTAGATTCTCAATTTCTCATGTATTTCATAACATTCTCATAGACTATAAAGATCTAAGAAATTATTTGAAATTCAATGTTGGGGACACCCCGTTAGTGTTAATTATTTTAACTCCCTACAAGATTTTTTGTCTTCCACTGATTTAATTTAAACTATTTACAATAAATAAATAAATAAGTTAGTGCAGACTTTCAATCCAGTTTAACAACAAAGTAAACATGAATTATAAGATTTAGGTCTTATCTTTTGTTATTTTATTGAGAGGATGACACCCATCCCTAAGGGTCCCCAACCCCGACCGGACAGTACGTTGGGAGGATGTAAATTGGAGTATAATCTCAATCTGACGGATAGAGAGTGAGACTCTGTCCCCGGTACTTGCAGAAGTTCTATGCATTTTTAGCATAGTAACCCCTCATCGCAGTTGCCGAGATTCGAACTCGGGACCTAACCCTTGTGGCACTCCCTTGCTACCAGTTGAGCTACGCCCACCGGTTTGTTATTTTATTGAGAAAATTGCTCAAACTAAGACTAAAATATACTCCCTCTATCCTGAAGAGGTTCGCCAAAATTATATTTTTTAATACGAAATTATTTTGAATATGAAAATTTTATCAAAATATTCCTTATTCAAATTTTTTCATAAAATAGAAAATATATAAATTATACACAAATATAATGATTAAAATCATTATCCAAAGTTCGTCATCATTGACACATAAAAGTCGATATGGTGAACCTTTTTTGGGACGGAGGTAGTAACATTTAACATGCAAAGTTTATTGTAAAGTAGTGAAAGGATAATAATTATATAGAAAGTGAGACTCAACTCTTAAAATAACACTTTATTACTTTTCGATTGTCCGGTGTGGGACATCAATAGGAATAACTTGGGGGGACTTATTATTATACTTGCACAACTTATTATGCATCGGGGCAATATATATTGATTCATATCAGACCCGAATAATAAGTTAATGAGAATAACTAGCACACCACCCGTGCATACGCACCAGAAACAGTTGGTCCAATAAGTTAATGATCTAATTAAATATAAAAATGTTTTTTTTAGAATTCTATATCATTTAAAAAATGGAGTACAATAAGTTAATATCAAAAAGTATAAATCCATACCACAAATATTCAAAGTAAAAGAAAATTAAAGTAAAAAAATCAACAATATCCATTAGAATTTGATACGTAACAATTAGCATTGTTGGCAACAAATAACAAAATATTGAACTTAATTGTTAGAGTTTTGAAAAACTGTTTTAAAGAGAACTTTTAACCTCTAGTGCTTTTTTCTTCTTATAATATATTAATAAAATCATCAATCCATATTCTCCCTCGATAACGCCATACATATAAAGCTTTACATGACTAAAATATGTCTAGGTAGAAAAATTTCTTCTTTTTCCAGTGATAGAGCTAGATCTTTATTGAAAAATGTGTTCACATAAGCTTAAAAGGTCTTGAGATAGAAAATATGAGAGAGGAAAATCTCCTGATCAGTTATTATTTGTTTATCTTATACCTAAAACACCACATACGAAAAAGAAAATTTCTCCACTCAATTATTAGTCTGCTAACCTTATATTTAAAAGCACTACATATGAGAGTGAAATTTTCCACCTCAATTATTAATCCGCTTATCTTATCTTATACCTAAAAATACTACATATGAGAGAGAAGATTTTTCCACTCAACTGTTATTAATCTGTTTATCTTCTTATACATAAAAACACTACATATGAGACAGAAAATATTCAGGTCAATTATTAGTCTGCTTATCTTATACCAAAAAGCACTACAAATGAGAGAAAATTTTCTCGTTCAATTATTAGTTCGCTTATCATATATCTAAAAATACTAAATATGAGAGAGCGAATTCTCCCGCTCAATTATTAGTATGTCTACCTTATACTTAAAAGTAATACATATGAGAGAGAAAATTTTCCCGGTTAATTATTAATCCGCTTATATTATACGTAAAAGCACTTCATATGAGACAGAGAAAATTTTTTCGGTGGATTATTAGCCCGCTTATCTTATAGCAAAAAGCACTACATACACGTAAGAGAGAAAATTCTTCCGCTCAATTATTTGTCCGATTATCTTATCTTATACCAAAAAGTCGCACTACACGTGAGAGAGAAAATTCTCCAGTTCATTCATTTGTCGGCTTATTTTATACGGAGTATCTAAGAATACTGCGTATGAAAGAGAAAATTCTTCCGCTCAATTATTAGTCTGCTTATTTTATTCATTTGAATACTACATATCAGAGAGAAATTCTCATGTTCAATTATTAATTCGCTTATGCTATACGTAAAAGCATTATATATGAGAGACGGAACTCGCTCGTTCAATTATTAGTCTGTTTATCTTTTCTTATACCAAAAAGCACTGCATATATGAGAGAAAATGTCCCCGCTTAAAATTATATCAAATTTCATATTTAGAATTTATAAACTGCTCGTGGATATTTGAACAATGTTTTTCTTTAAACAGTTGGGGCCTGCGTGCTCATGTTTGCCACGTGTGGCTAAATATCAAACATATTATTTCCGCATTCGTTTGATTATGATATTGATGTTGATTGTATGAGTTTACTAATCGGTTTGGCAAAAGAATCTATCGAACGCCTTGTATGATTCAATAAGGATGTACTAATGTTGTTCTTATTGGGTTGTACGGCGGTTGTCTACGTGGCTCGGATGCGGTCCGGGGCGTGACACATTTGTTAGCAAACTTATCTTCTAAAATCTTAAAGCACTACATATGAGAGATAAAATTATCTCGCTCAATTATTATTCGGCTTATCTTATACGTAGTAACTAAAAACACTACATATGAGAGAAAAAAATCCTTCCGCTCAATTGTTAATCGGTTTATCTTATCTTATACTTAAACGAACTACATATAAGAGAGATATCCCGAACAATTGTTAGTAAACTTATCTTCTACTCCCTCCGTCCCTCAATACTTTGCCAAGTTTGACCGACACGTGGATTAATAAATTAAAAATTGTGTGGTTGAGGTTTGTGGAGAGGAGAGAAAATTAACTGGAACAACAAATTCTTTACTTAAAAGAGAAAGTGGTAAAGTTAATGGGACATCCAAAAAGGGAAAGTTGGCAAATTTATAAGGGACGGAGGGAGTAATACCTAAAAGCATTACATATGAGACACAAAATTCTCCTGTTCAATTTTCTCGCTCAATTGTTAGCAAACTTATCTTCTAATCTTTTAATACCTAAAAGACTACATATGAGAGATAAAATTTTCACGCTCAGTTGTTAGCAAAGTTATCTTCTAATACCTAAAAGCACTACATATGAGAGAAAATTTCCACGCTCAATTTATCCGCTCAATTGTTAACAAAGTAACAAAGTTATCTTCTAATACCTAAAAACACTACATATGAGAGGGGAAATTATTCCGCTCAAATATTAGCAAGCTTATCTTCTTGTATCTAAAATCACTACATATGAGAAATAAAATTCTCACGGTCAATTGTTAGCTAGCTTATTTTATAACTGAAAGCACTACATATGAGAGAAAATTCTTCCGCTCAATTGTAGCTGGCTTATCTTATACTTAAAAGAATTATATATGAAATAAAACCATTGATCTATTTTAGATTGACAATAGCATCATACATTGAACATCTTTTTCATTTAGAATGTTATTTAGAGTCTGTTTGGTAACACATAAAATGGTTGAATCTATTGAAATGGCTGAATATACTAAATTTTGGGGAAAATAAAATTAAAATATAAGCTAAAATGTGACTTATTAACTTTTAATGATTTTAATTATATTTTAGTTTTATAGCAAAGTAACTGTAAGCTAAGGAAGGTTTTCTGCAAAAGTTATTTGTGAATGTAAAACTGATTAAATTGGTTATGAGTGCGCTTCTATAGTCACTTTGATATAATTTTTAAACATAATTATAAATAGGTTACTTAATAAATATTCATTTTTTTTTAAATTTTTATATGCAATATTGGGCTCATATGAAAGATCATAAAAAATAATCATATGAATTTTGATATATGTTTTTGTAAAAATTAGAACAAAAATGAAAAAGTTATAACACTCTAAAGAAAATGAGTGTTTTATATGGTGGGCCCCACCAATTATTTTTCTCTTCAATACTGCTTTGCTTTGGTGCGCTATAGGGTTCTCTTCTTAATCTTAATTAAATAAATAGAATTAGCCACGTGTCTTTTTTATAACAAAAGAGTGAATTGTGGAGAAATGGACACATAGAATTTATTAAGGGTAGAATTTTCTTTCAATGCCAATATATATTGATTCATATCAGACCCGAATAATAATAAGTTAATGAGAATAAAGCATTAATCAAATATTTGGTTGATTAATCAAAGATAACAAGAGGCCGCCATAGGTAAATATCCGGCCACTACGGCCTACGGGAGAACCGGAGAGAAGATTTTTTCTTGATTCGTTTTTAAAGGGAAAAAATCTCAATCAAATTTGATCAATTATATCTTCTAATACTCCCTATAAAATTATCTAATATATGAAAATGATATGAAAATATTCTATATTAGAAATACTTGCATAAAAGTATAAATAAATTTGACACAATATAATAACTAAAAACATTATTTTGTTAAATTTTATGAGAGGGTGTGGGTAGAAAGAACTTTTGTGTTTAAGTGTTTTATACTGTATTGTCTTTGGGTGGATTATTATTACTAGAAGTGCAACTTTATTCCTAAATTTTGAATATCATTAGTTAATGTTAACCAGTATGATGGTGTTTAAGAAATTGCTTCATACTACCTCGTCCCTTAAAACTTTGTCAAGTTTGACCGGCACGAAGAATAAGAAAGTAAAATTTATGTGATTGATGTTTATACAGAGGAAAGAGAATTAACTAGAACCATAAATCTTTTACTAAAAACGGAAAGTGACAAAGTTAATGAGATATCCAAAAAAAGTAAGTTGACAAAGTTTTAAAGGACGGAGTGAATAGCATATAAACTTCCACGTAAGCTAGCTATAATACCCTCAGAAATTTGATTCCTCGGTGGCAATGATCGCCTTTTTGGAAGGGGACAACTGCAAAACAATGAAATAAAGGAAGAAATGACACCAAATTTGCATTTGAGTAATGACACGTTCCATGGACGGTAGACGCCGCCGCACTCACCTCTAACAAGACATTTTTGCCGAAGGATTTTTCTATGGCCTTCGTATCTTAAACAATTATTAAAGCTGAAATTAAATCATTAGACTTTGCCACTTAATGTTGTCTGCGTGTAACCATAAACTTAAAAATCCTTTAGTCATATTCGTTTCACTAGTTATAAAATTTGTCAAGGGAGACACCTAATTATAGAGTATTTCACAAATAGGAGTAAAACAGAAAGGAATTCCCTTTTGTCATTCTTTGCGGGGACCAATTGGGCGGCTCATTACTTAGCCGCCATGGACTTTGCCCAACTACATATTTGTACGAGGCCACATCTTCTCCTGGTCAATGCTAAACGAGCTTATTGCATGGATTTATTTGGCATTCCTTCTATTGGATTTTATATTTAATCTTTATCTATTTTTTGAATGGTTGTATTTTAAGAAGGTATGCCTTCTCGGGGAGGTTTTGGCCTAGTCCCCCCCTCGTTTTGTATTTTCACTTATTTTAATAAAACTTTGTAAATGTTCTCTGACATTTACCCCACCCACGGGTGATTTGCCTACCGAGATTAAAAAAAGGAGTAAATCATGCTCAATTTTCTAACATAAGAGTGAATGTTTAAAATTCCATTAATAAGACTTATTATTTGTGGTCGGACAAAAATAGGGATTGGAGTACTGTCAACATCGGACTATTAGATCATTTGTCTCTGTTAGCATGTTATCTTTACAAAAGAACATTCACTAGATTCACTTAAATACTCGATGTAAATGAACATTCATATTCATCCACATTTTATAAGTTTGTTAAAAAAAGTCCATGAAACAAGATAAACTAAATATGAATTGTCCTAAGTAGGAGTAAATGAAGTTTGAAATTCCAAAATAAGATTACTATGTTTTTCTTCCCAAAATAGGAATTGTTACTGTCATGTATTGGTATGAAAAATGTTGTCATAATTGTAAAATACTCCTATTAATTATAATAAATATTCTCATGTTAAATGCACTTTACTGCAACTATTTGGCAGTCACGCCTACAATATGACAGTATATGCTGCATGAAGTCTTATATCACGAATAAAAACATAGTAGTCCTATTTTGTAATCACAAACTTCATTTACTCCTATTTTGAGAAATCTTCCTAAACTAAACTAATTAATTAATTCGGATTCTGGACAATTTTAATGAAATTTAGAATTCAATCAGAATTCAGGTGTCCCCGGTTTGGATTTTTGTGGAATCCATGAAAATAAGGGTGTCCTTAAACATTTCGTGGATTTCTGTTGTTACTTATTTGCACGGATTTTAATAGATTTCGATGGATTTCTATATACAGAAACAATCCACCATAATCTTGTAAACTTCCCTCGGATTTCAAAATCTAGGATCTTTTAAAATCCATCAAAGTCATAATCGAGACACCCGTTAATGTGGTGCATAAAAATTAAGTAAAGCAACATTGAAACAAAAAAAATACTTCCTCCGTTTTTAAATAAGTGCAACAGTCAACATTTCACACTTGCCGAGACACAACTTTGACCATTAATATATATAATTCTCTATTAGTAAAAAATTTTAAAAAATAAATTTTTGAAAATTTACAATGAGACAAATTTAATAATATATTTTTCAAAAATATATATTAATACATCAATAAATAAAATGTAGTGAAAGTAGAACATGTAAATAAGTAAAACAAACTTACCGGAACTGTTTGCTGTGTGGTAATTTTTGCTTGTTCTTGCATTTCAGGTCGCCGTTGACGTCATCAACGTTGAAGAGAAGGGAAGAGTCCGACGGCAACTCCAAGCGCCTGTTCCTCCACGCCGCCATGAAAACCGAAGCAACCTGCGTCAGCGGGCTCCCCACAAGCTTCTTGAAACGGTACCGTTTCGTCCCCGAGAGGAAGATGACAACCGCCACGACGATGGCGCCGGCGCAAATGCCGTAGCCCCACCGCCGTCCGAAGCTGTCCTGGATGTACACTAGCACCGTCACGGCGGCCAGAGACCCCACATTGATGAAGAAGAAGAACCAGCTGAAGAACTTCACCATCTGCACGCGCTCTTTGTTGTCGGTTTCGTCGAACTGGTCGGACCCGAAGCCGGACACGCTGGACTTCAGTCCGCCGGTTCCGAGTGCGGTGAGGTAGAGGGCTGCGTAGAGGACGGTGAGTTGTGTGCTGCTCGCCGGAATGCATGAAGGACTTCCCCGGTCACACTTTGGAGGCCTTAAGCTTGGTATTATGGTAGAGATGGTCAAAACAGTCACACCCTATAAAAAAATATTACATGCCATAAATGCGGTGTACATAATTTTCAACTGAAATTAATATAGAAGAATGTTTGAGCCATTTTCCACGTAATTTTTACTATATTTAATTTGAACCATTAATATATTTCAAAACTTGTCTGCCTTCCATTTTAAGATGTTCTCTAATACCAAGTGGTTGTCTCCCTTAGAAAGTTTTTTCATAAATATCCACGTTTTCCGATACTTGTCTCCCTTTCCATTTTAAGATGTTCTTTAATAAGAAGTGGTTGTCTCCCTTTTCATTTTTAGAAAGTTTTTTCTATAAATATACTCTTATACTCTCATTATTTTTCCTACTTTTTCATTCTATTTCCTATTTTTCATGTAAACACAACTCACTACATTTTTACATTATCCCTATTATTTTCCTCTTAAAACTTGTGTCATACCCTATAGGAATAAGCATCGGAGAACAGAGGGAGTATAATTTTTCACATACTGTCAGGAGCCCAGTCCAAATTTTAAAAATGTTTATATTTTTAATTAAAAAATTCCGTGTCAAAAAAATCAAAAATATTCTTTGTCCACACCCTTTAGATATTTAAAAAAGATGTGCGAATAAATAAATAAACGGATTCTGTACATGTGAGACGTAGTATTGTGACATCATGGATTAATAGTATGTACTACGTATGATAATAGGAACCCTGAGAAAAACTAACAAGTGTCGATCAAATTGAACAAATGATACCCACATAAGAAAGAATATATAAATTGTCCATCCAAGAAGTGCAAGTCAACAGAGGTAAAAACGAAAAACTAACACGTGGACACGAATAATCAAAAGAAAACGCTAATACGCAATCATATACTCTGTCCTGTCACAATTAAGTATGTGTTTTAATTGAAATCAAATTTGGGGTTTGAAAAATATCACTAGAACGTAAGATGTGGATAAAACAAGTTTTTTTAATTTTAAAAAATGGGACTAAATAAGAACTACAACAAAAACATCCGAACCTTATTCTCAAAAGAGAATTAAATAAGCACTAAATCTGAAAAAACTTAAATGAATTTTACTTGATCATTCCTCCTAATATCCGTTGACACTAACCGGGTCTAGAAACCACGGTGACCGATAATTCGTCAGTGATCACTATCAACTACCATTGATCATCGGCGATCACAATGATCACCGCCAACCTATGACCATCGTCGATCGTAGTGACCACCGTCGGCCACTGACCACTAGTGATGACCCTCGTCGGCCACTGACCACTAGTGACGACACCCGCCGACCATAGTGACCATGTTGGTCACAGTGACCACATCGGTAATCGTGACCACTCCAGTCAATTACGGTTCATCTACATGCAGTGACATCGCAACATTGTGCCCATTCTCCCGCTGACATTACGACCCCACCATCGCTACTGACACTGTTACAATGCTACCCCGCCTCCCTGCCCCTGCCCCAATAACCTATGCCACAATCTCAACGCTCCCCCTCCCTTGCCACAACCCTACCTCGACCACTCGTACTACTCCAAGGCCCACTACCCCTTGCCAATTGCCCAGCGCTCTGACCTCAACACCAACTCTTGGCCCAACCCCTCCACCTTCCCTCAGACCCTATCAGAACCCCTTCCATTGCACCTAACCGTAACCCCAAGCCATGTTGCGACAGTTGGTGTGGTCGTCCCAAGACATCTTCATCGTAGTCCTTTCGATCGAAGAAGGTGGTGTTGCAACCGCTGACTAACCTTAGTCGATGTGATGAATAAGATCATTATTGGGATCGATGAAGAAGACGTTGGAGCTCCAAATCTCTTATTCTCCAATCAAGATTTAACGTGGCACAAGTTAGAGTAGAAGAAGAAGAGTTACGATAGCAACGAAAGCACTATCATCGATGTCAAATCTGGAGTCGTCGTCATCGCTATTGTGTTCTTGTCAATTTGTCATCATTGTTGAAGCCCTTTTGCCTTGGTGTCGTAGTGAAGATGGGGGTGCAACGCGGTAGTGTAGTGAGGAGAACGCCAACTGTGCATAAAAAATGTAACTCGCGCACATGAAAATGTAAATCGCGTATAAGAAGACGTAACTCCATGTATTATTAAATGTAACTCTAGGGATCGTGTATAAATGTAAGAATATTTTTACTTAGACTATTTTCAGTTCCAGACCAGACTGGACCAAACTTAAACAGACCAGATCAGACCAGACCAAACCAGACTTCCGTAGTTATAAATTACTCAGAGACCAGACCTTTATCAGACCAGACCAAACCAGACCGTTTCAGATCAGACCATTGGTAACAAGATGTATTTATTACTTTGTGAGTTAGTGAGTATTTGTTACCTTGCGAGTTACCATTTTCTCAAACAAGATCATCATTACTACTTCGTAAAATAGGATTAATTCATCCTAAAAGGTAAGTTTTATTATTTTCATGTTCTATAACTCTATGAGAACTAAATAAGTTCTACTTTGAAAACAAAATATAATTAGTTCAATTTGTGAGCTGTATCTATATTTTACTGGTATTTGGGGGATTTTTTTGAAACCCAAAATGGACAGTTAAGAATAATCAAGAATAATCAGGAATAGAGCTTTTAAGTAAAAATAAAAAAATGATTTCACAAACTCACCGTGGCTTGTATAGTTGTAAAAATGGCGATGGTTAAATACCTGAAATAATTTATTATTATTGCAAATTATCACAAATTAGGGTGAGAAAGAATTTGGCTAGACAAAAAAGGGAAGAGATGGATTTAGAATGAACCTTCCCAGGAAAGTGTCAGCCACGAAGCCACCTAAGAGGGTGAGCATGAAGGAAGTCCCAAGAAAGTTAGTAACGTTGTTAGCGGCGTTTGCGTTTCCTAAATGCATGGTCCCCGTCAAATAGGTCACGAGGTTGACGGCAATACCCAACGTCGTCATCCTCTCACATGCTTCAACCCCTTTAGGTACCAACAATTCAAACAATCCCATAAGCAAATTATTGAATCAGTTTGATTTCAAAATGTTCCCCGGCCCACATCATCTTATATTGCACCACCCGCCAAATTTGGACCACATAGTGCAATTTAAGTGTCAATTCTATTACTAGTATTAACATTCACTCTCATTTTAATCTTACAATTATATTTCCATTTTTACTTGTTCAATCAAAATGTTTGAAGTGATCCTCTTTTTGGACTCATGAGCGTTATCACCAAACGCGTAACTTTTGATTTTGTGTGCCGAATTGTTTAATAAAAAATAGTAATGTTGAAGTTGATGTAGATGATCATTTTTGCTTTTATCAGTACAATACATTTTTAATATAATTTTTTCAAAAATGTGTCCAGGGGTTTTAAAAAGCAAGAACTTTTGGTATTGTAGCAATAGTGAACACTTATTAAAGTTTACTATAATAAGGAGTAGCTATTAGGTAGACTATTTTTGAAAAAATGAAGCGAAAAAATATTTTAAAATATCTCAAAATCTAAGTGGAACAATTATTTAGGAGAATATAAAATAATATGCTCTATTTGCGCCATTGTGTTTGGGACAAAGAACTTAAGAGAGTGATAGGCCAAATTTAAATTGAGAAAAATTTATAAATAGAAATAATTATTAGTGATGTTTTGACATTATCCGACTTTGCACGTGTTAAAGTATTTGTCTCATACTAGAAAAGTATAAAGCAATAAAACACTATAAAGATTTGAGTTATTCTTCCTATCATGTTGACTTTTGAGGATGAAATCTCATGTCTTAACTCATGTTAGCTTGTTAAGGGTTTGTTTGGCCCAATTATACACTCGATATTGTTCAATTTTGTTCGGTCTGAAGGAACGTGTTAAAGTATTTGTTCAACACCTAAAAATTATAAACTAATAAAACACTACATAAAATTTTGGGTTACTCCTAAATATTTTACTTTGTTGTAAACTTCTAATGGTGGCTAGAGTCCGGATGTATACACATTTAAATAATGATAATGAAAAAATTAACCTTGAATACCACTAACGTAGACTGAAAACTTAATACTACCCACACGGATAGCTCAGTTGGTCAAGCGGTGGAAAAATTGGACAAAGTGACTAAGGCTAATATTGATGCTACTATACCCTGTATATGAAAGAGAACATGACTAGCTAGTAGTACGTCTACTGCCCGGCCGGGGTAGTATTTAAAAAGTGCAAACTCTTTTCAATAACAGTAGTAAAACAGACAAACAAAACTTGTTTTAGATTATGCAGAAATCTAAAAGGAGAAGAAAAAGAAGAGACCTAAAATCATGGCGGCACTGGTCCATCCGCCGGAGAAGGAGCGGAGGGAGGGGCGGCCCTTGTAGTCCGAGGAATCTTCAAGAGTTTTCGCTTCATTTTCTGTATTAGGAAGTGCAGCCGCCGCCGCCGACATTTATTGTAGATGAATACAATACAATACAGCCAAGCTTTTATTATTGTAGGCAGCAATTTATATAAGTATGCCTAAAAGTTAGGAGAGATTCTCGATCTCTTTTCTGTATTATATGTATGTATGTATGTGAGAGTGAATCAGGAAGAAGGAGCTTAGTTAGCAGAGGATTTATAAACCAAACTAAACCAAACCAATAATTAAGTCTGATGCAGATTCAATTGGTCCAGTCGGCCTATTCCAGCACTGGGCCGGTGGCCTGCCTAGCTGCTACGGACGGGACAAAAGAAAAAGTGAAAAACAAATTAGACCTCACATACCCTCTCAACTACGGCTCGTTTTGAATGGTCAATTGGAATCACTCCAAAAGTGTGTTTAGGTGTGTGAGTAAGAGATCTATACTTGGCATCAACCTCTCCTCCTCTATTGGGTTTGGATTAGGGTCTCATTTGAAACAAAAAATGCTATATGTACACGTTTTTGTGTACTGCTAGGTACTATTGGTTTATACTAGTTCCGTCCCAAAATGATGGTCCTGTATTTCTTTTTGGGATGTCCCAAAATGATGATCTTGTTTCCCTTTTTGGAAGCAAAGATGTGGCTCATATCATTTCACTTTATTATACTCAAATCTCAACCACAATTTTTACCTTTTCAACCACTTTATTAAAACTTGTGCACAAAAGAAATGAGACCATCAAATTGGGACGAAGGGAGTATCATAGATAACTGCTTGTAAAATAAAGAAAGTATATCTAATTTTATATTATGTATTAAATAATGTTTGTGATACAGACAAGATCTGATGAAACGGTTAGTAACACAAGAGGGGTGGTGAATTGTGTGTGTAGAACCATGACAGTTTTTCGACAAGTTATAGTGTGAGGTATATGGTGAAGCAAAATAAGTGCACAAGGATTTATCGAGGAAAAATCTCTTGGCTCAAAAGGGATTAAAAAACCTCGACCTCCCTCGGAAGAATTTTAACAACTTCACTAAAAAGTCTTTGATCGATTACAAGAGCAACTCTCCTAGTCCATCCTTGAGTCACCCCAACTCTATCTTCTCTAGGAAGAGTTACGCTTTTCTACCTTGCGAGTAGAGAGTCTCTCAGCTTTACAACAAAGCTCTCACTCACCACACACTTACCAACCCAAAGATGCTACAGTTCGTCAATCCTCAATACCCCATTGCAAAGAGAAGAAAGAAAAGTAGGTGATAGAGTATTGACTCTTAGAGAGAAGTGAGAGCTAGAGAGAGATAATGCAATTAATATTACTCAATCCCTTACAACTACCTCCAAAGGGAGTATTTATAGGGAAATATGGGTTGGGGCTCCCAAGTCTTGGGCTTGGGAGGCCCATTACAAAATTAGGCCTCTATTGGGCTGGATACAAGTTTTATATTTCGATCAATTATGAAATCTAATCTGCTTTGGTCTCTTTGGCCGACAGAGGACCAGGCCAACGGATGGCCTGGCCGATGGAGTACCAACTTCTTCTCTTGGGCTTCTGGACCATATTCTGGGTTGGTGGGTGTTTGGCCGACAGAGGACCATCTGGCCGATGGAGGGCCATGTGAGTGCTAGCTGCGTTGTTGGAAATATTTTATGATGTGCAATCTAGTTAAATATCTTTATATTTGTGTAGTTGATAATTAAATGTGTAATATGAGCCACAAATGTATTTTAGCCCATTAGCCCTCTTGTGAGCCTTAAGTTAGACATCCTTGGGCTTGGGAGGCCCATTACAAAATAAGGCCTCTATTGGGCTGGATACAAGTTTTATATTTCGATCAATTATGAAATCTAATCTGCTTTGGTCTCTTTGGCCGACAGAGGACCATCTGGCCGATGGAGGACCATCTGGCCGATGGAGGACCATCTGGCCGATGGAGGACCATCTGGCCGATGGAGGGTGTTTGGCATGAAGGAGTGGGGGACTAATCTAATCTGTTGTATAAAAGATAACTTAAGAGATGGCCGAGGTCCCCCACTCCCTCATGAAATCTAATCTGCTGTATAAAAGGAAGCTAACTTAAGAGAAATAAAAAGCCTTGATGATCATTAACGCACATATTATTCTAGTGAGAGAGAGAGTCGCAGTTCTTGTATTCGATACCATGTTCTGTATTTTTCCATCAGTCTTGGTATTGGATCAAAGATATTTCTTCTCTACCCTACATTCTTTATATGATTGTTGGATGAATTAGGGAAAAACATGCATTCATTTTATTTGTCTGAGTATGTGGGTCAGGGGGTCTGGGCCCATACTCTATCAGGAGTCCCCCACTCTCTGAGTTGAGATGTAGACGAAGTGAAAGGGGTAAATCATAGTCATCTTAATGCATGTGGCCGATGCGGGACCACATGTGTTTGATATTGCATTGTTTTGCCTTTCCCTTGCGTTTGGCCGTTGCGTGGCTAGTTGGTTTCTTTTGTTGAGGTCATTGACGTTTGCTTAGTGGCCGATGATTGTAGCTTCCTTTGGAGCCGTTGTAGATCCCTTGTTTTTGTTCTTGTGGACGATGAATGTCGTTCTGAGGACGAGGTGTGTCCTTTGTTCTTCACTCTCATGTTTCTGTGCACAGGCTATAGTCGAAGATGGACCACATGCTTGTGGACGTTGTGGTGTTGATGGTGCGGATTTCTAAAGATGAACCGCATGTCTGTGGACGTTGTGATGCCATGCCACTTCTTTGTGTTCCTTAGTCTTTTGAACTTGTTTCCTTTTTGGAATGTTTGTGTATTTGGAGGCCGATACAGTCCCTCAGTCCTCCACTCCCTCATGCCGAAGAGCATGGTAGGTGTGAAGGAGTAAAATAGTATCCTAGGCCGACGTGGAACCCTCACTTTCCTCATAAATCCAACCTCTTGGCGATCACTGACCAAGGTAACCCTGTGGGAGAACCCTTGGATGAAGGTCACAGGCCAGAGGTTATCAACAATGGGTTCTGTACGAGGAGTCGATGGTTGTTGGATTGTACCTTACTATGGTTGTGGTCATTGAGGTGTCACTTGTGGCCGTAGGGTTGTTGGTTATGTTCATGGCCGTTGTGTGACCCTTTATTAGTGGTTGAATTGGCCGTTGTTGGTGTAATGTGCTGAAAATTTGAAAGGTTAGCACCCGATTGGTCTTGGGGGAGGCCACCGTTGGTGTGACCATTGGGAAAGTGCCAGGTGTAGTGACCGTTGGGGAAACATCTATAAATACCCCCAACTCCGAAGTGTTTCCCTCATTTACCTCTTGTTGAATCATGAAGTGCTATCAATTTCTAGAGAGATAAAGCCATCTTCAAATCTTTCAAAGTGTTCTTCAATTTCTGAGGTTAGTTCTTGCTTAGTTCATCGTATTTTTTGTATACTTTGCATCCCTGAAGGTTAGATCTAGTGTTCGCAGGAGAACTTAATTAGATCCAAATGAACCAACCTTAAGGCTTTTTTAGTTGTAATGGCATCTGTTGATGGCCGAAGCGTATCCTCCCTCAATGATCCAATAGACTCCTTAGACGAAAAGTATTACCCTTTTGACGAGGAGGACACTTCCCCGCATGTGAAACTTAAGACGGTAGAGGACTTCATTGAGGAGATGGAGGACATCACTGACTACCGCACTGAGAACGACGAAGGGTGTCCTAGTGAGGAAGCTTGCTCAACATCGTCTAGCGAGGGTGATTCAGGTTCACCGCATCGAGGGGATGGAGCATCGTCATCTGCCACTATTCCATGCCCCCTCCTCTTTCTTCGGTCCGCGGAGATGGTCCTTCGGCTGCTGTTCTAGGGAAACCGCGTCGGCGTAGGACGAAGAAAGGTTTGGGTCGAGGGCTCTCTCAGCTGGACCTTACCAACCTATATATCATCCAGCCACAAAGTTCACCAAGTGAGTATCACGTCGCTCAAATGTATGTGGGGCCGTATGGTCGGGTTAGGGCACCTAGGTCGACGGAGGACCATCTGGCAGATGGAAAGCCATGTGAGTGCTAGCTGCGTTCATTTTAGTCTTCTGAGTATGTGAGTCATGGGGTACTGGGCCCATATACTCTATCAGTAGGAACTATATCTAGAACTCTATGTGAACAGTTTCAGGTGTCTTGGACTCCGGTAGTTCTTTGGTTAATATGTCTCTCAATAGTTGTCTCGGTCAAGCACACGTTCTTCTTCTTGACCTCGGCATATATATATTGCTTGGAGTAGATCCGTTAAGCCTTTTCTTTCCTTGGATGACCGAGGTACCAAGAGTGGTACTTGCCTTTTTATCATTTGAATGTCTTTCCTTTAGGAGATTCTTTCTTTTAAGTGCAACAGACTCTATCATACATAAGTGGACCATATTTCAAACAAAGATAAATATATCGAAAATATATACCAACGTATAGTATGAGAGCAAATTGCTCACTTAACAAATATAAGTATGTTATGGTCTATTCTTAAATTACCACATATCAAGTCAAGCAAGCAAAGATCCTTTCCATAAAGTATTAAGCTATATATGTGTATGTATATATATAGGTTTCAGATCAAATAAAAACCTTTCTTAACGTGAAAGCTGAAAACCGTTCACTTTTATCCGAATGTGATGCACCTTAAGGGTGATCTGTTGCACTTTTGGAACTTATGTCGAACCATGCTAAATAAAAAAAATGTGGAGGCATTTTCGTAAATAAGTCAAAGTTTCCTGTCAATGCGAAAAAGTACAAGACTGAAACGTAATAGTATAAAACTGTAGAAAAAGTGGAGGTTTGCAGTTTCCACGATAAGAATGATTTTAATTTGATCTATACCATACATATAGAGAGAGTATGAGTCATTCTCATGTCCAGCAGCCTTTCGTCCGAACGACATCCGAACACCGCCGTTTGAGGTGGTTCCCGGTGGAATTTTTTGTTTAAAGTTTTTGAGCATGTTCCTCATCAAGTCTAGTTTATCCATACCAAATTTAAGCTTAAAATTCGAACGGGAAGGCAGCCAAATAATTTGTTGAAGTTAACTGTGCAAAATTGTACATAGAAAAACGCAGTCAACTTCAAAAACTTATTTTAATGCCTTCCCGAATGAATTTTGATCTGAAATTGTTTGTGAATAAACTAGACTTGATGAAAAACAAACCATAAAAATTTCATCAAACAATCGACCGGGAACCGCCCCAAACGGTGGTGTTCGGACGACATTCGGAACTGAGGCTGCTGGACCTCAGAGTTTCTCTCTCTCTCTCTCTCTCTCTCTATATATATATATATATATATATATATAGAAAAGATCAGGTGAGAAGTCCCTCTTAAAATGAGAAGTGAGAAGCAATCTCAGCCCTTGGATTTGCATCTAATCTTACAACGCACTAAACTTATAGACTAAATATAGGAACTTATAACAAATAAAACATAACTTATAAAGCTCTCAATCATAATTACGAAAATGCCACCGCGTCCAAATTTTTTCAAGGTTTCCAGGCTATTTTTTTTGCGGTGGCATTTTCGTAATTATTTTCGACGGGTCTATAAGTGATGATTTATTGGTTAAAAGTTCGTGTTTTTAGTCTATTAGTTAAACTTCGCAGTTCTCAGCCTAAGAGCACTTCTCACCTGATCCGCTCCCGATATATATATATATATATATATATATATATATATATATATATATATATATATATATCGGGAGCGGATCAGGTGAGAAGTGCCCTTAGGCTGAGAAGCTGCGAAGTCTAACATATAAGCAAAAAACACGAACTTTTAACCAATAAATCATAATTTATAGACCCCGTCGAAAATAATTACGAAAATGCCACCGCGTCAAAAAAAAATTCCAGGTTTCTGGAGTTATTTTGATTTTCGTAATTTTTTGGAGGGGGTCTATAAGTTATGATTTATTGGTTAAAAGTTCGTGTTTTTAGCTTATAAGTTAGAGTTCGCAGCTTCTCAGCCTAAGGGGGACTTCTCACATGATCTTTTCTATATATATATATATATATACATACATACATACATACATGCATGCATGCATGCATGCATGCATGCATACATACATACATACATACATGCATGCATACATACATACATACATACATACATACATACTATTGAGTTTGTAGGTTCGTAATTTAAGCATGATTTGTATTTGATCTCTTATATATATAAGAGATTAAATACAAATCATGCTTAAATTACTAACCTACAAACTCAATAATATGCAGCACCTTGAACTTCAATATGTAGTACAAATAATGTAAAGATGCAGAGGTGGGATCACATACAAACTAGTGATCCCATTCAAATCATCTTTAAATTATTTGTATTGCACATTAAAGTTTAAAGTATTCCATATTATTCAGGGCATAAAATTGCAGTTTCATATTTACATTATTTGTATTGCATATTAAAGTTCAAAGAGTGCATCTTTACTTTATTTGTACTCCATATTGAAGATTTGAAGTTCAAAGTGGTGCATATTATTGAGTTTGTAGGTTAGTAAATTAAGCATGGTTAGTATGTGATCTCACCACTTTATATATATATATATACATATACATATATATATATATATATATATATATATATATATATATTGAGAGAGAGAGAGAGAAGATCTCATGAGAACTACCTCTTAGACTGAAAAATGAGAAGCAATATACACCATTCGATCCGAATGTCCGCACCCAGGGCCATCTGCACCACCCGATTCGTTCAGTGTTCCGTTATTCATTAATGACATTTTTTAAATTAAAAGAAACTTTAAACCTTCTCTTATCTTATGTTTACGCATACCTTAGCCCTCCTTCCGTAAAACTATGTGTTCCTTTTATTCTTTTTCGATTAGATTCTGGCGGTGACTAACTCCGTTTTTCCCTTCATGCTCTCAGCCATGGATTCTCCGTCTCTGCACCATAGATTAATCTCCTTCTATGTTCCAACAATTATTCAAGCTATTACAGATCCAAGGTCTGTTTACAACTCCAACTAGAGTATGATTTTTTTGCCTCATTCTTTTAAACACCGTGGTGATTGTAGTCATCTCTAGGCAGGATGTGTAGATGCTGAAGCTGAACTTTCATCGACTACGACAGACAACATGAATAATCATCGAGGAACTCTAGCTACACAGATCGACGGTGGGAGGGCTTTTTTGTTAATTTTTTTCCCTTCGAATTGAGAAACAAGTTAAACATCTAGCCCATTCTGTTTTGAGATCATTTTAAATGATATAGTCATTTGTAAAGCTGGTGAATTTACATTATGCCTACCAAGTATTTATTATAATGTTTCATTGTAAACATATAAGTAAACCACATTTAAGAGTATACTCATAGTCAATTTAGAACTATATGAACATACGAGTTGAATATCGTTAAAATTAACTCTAGCCAATTTTAATACTTTTGATTTAAACTATTTGTTGCTTTGAAGTTTAACTAGATTATAAGTTATCCATCAATTTGTATTTAAAGTAAATTGGTTCAATTGTGAATTAATTGAGTTGCCAGCCTCATATTTTATTTTATTTTATTTTTTATTTTTAAAGAAACCTCCACACTTTATTGTATTGTACTCAACAAATGTATATATTCAATTCAAATGCACATTAAATTTCACTATCCTGATTCTTTTTCAAATGTGTAAACTTTGGATATTTAGTATCATTATAATGTCAAAGGAAGATAAGATTGTTTTCTCGGAAGATGGGCAGGGGATGCCCCTTTTGATCAATAAAGAGTGAACTTTGTTTTCGTCTTCTCGAACACTTGCTCGGCAATAATGGTCCCATTACCATCAGCCCTCTTTATCTCCAAGTTAGCCTTTTGATAGACATCAGTTCCTCGCAGAGCATCTGCAATAAAGTCATCAGACTGCCCCTTTTGATCAATAAAGAGTGAACTTTTAACTTTTGGCTTGACGAACCAAAATTATTGAGCCAATCAAGTGAATCGAGTATCTCAATATTTGCGAGTCGAGGTCGAACTCGAATTTTTGAAGTTCGTTCGAGCCGAGCTCGAGTCAATACAATATATTTCCAATTCCGGTCTACTTAGATGCTCCCGTAGGCTCACTTGCACCCTAATCCATACAATTGCCGTTACAATAACTAGATTTACCAGAATTTGGAAACTCTTAGCCTTATAAACTCTGAAGGACCTCGCACCTCAACCATGGCTGCATTTCTTCGTGCTAAGCTGAGTTCATTTGCAGCTTCTCACTCCACGATTAACGCATTACTTTCTCAGAGTCAGCGCTTCACCCTTAACGCCGGTGGATTCTGTAGAGGTCTGGCCTCTAAATCTTCGCAGCAAACCGCTACCAAATCTCCATTCAATTCAAACTTACTTAGAATCCTCCATAATGAAATCGATTACCTCTGCGCTTACGCCCCTTCCCAACCGGTAATGCTCTACATTTTTCTTGTTCAAGATTTCATTTTCCCATTTTTGTTTATGGAGTATTTATTTTTAGTGTTTTTTTTTGGAGATTGTGCTATGCTTTTTTACTGTCATTATGCTATTCTTATCAGCATAATTGTTACAAATTTATTAACACATTTTTTTGTGACGAGGGAGAGAACCCTTAATCCTGCCAATTAGGGCATGATAATCAGAAGCCGGCAGGTTCCTTAAGACATAATGTAGGGTTACAAAGCCATAGCAAAATGTTCTAATAATATGCGAGATAATAGCCTCAATACTGGGCACACTACGATCTACCAAAGGACTGAAAAGGAAAGTGCTGCAAACTTTGAATGTGGAGGGAGTATGTGAGTTTGTATCTTTATACATACGACCAATTAGGTGCCTTGACATTATTTGCTTCTTTTAGGGTATGTTTGAATATTGGAAGAAAACTTTTTTTATTATATTAGGTCTAACCTTCAAAAATTAAACGGTTAAAAATTATTTTTTAAATATACACTTATTTTTATGTCTTTATATAATAAAACTAAATAAATAAAAACGAGTTTGTACAAATACCTAATAAATTTATTGGGCTTGAGATTATCTTTTATCTGTCTCAATTTTCCTTCACTATTTTCCCTAGCAGTTTCCATGTTCCAAATGATCCCTTAGTCTGTATGTAGGAATCATCTAGGAAACTTATTTAAAACAGTAATACAAAGAAATTTGGAAGTAGCTGAAAGAAAAGATCAATCCTAAAGAATTGAAATTATACTCTCATAGTGTTTTGTTGCCAAGCCTTATATATCTTTTATGGTGTGAATTTTTAATCCCTATTTCTTTGTTACTGAAAAGTGATGATGGGACACATTGATATTTATACTTGTCCTTGCTGTTTCTGAAGTTTACTCTGGCTTATTTTGCCAGATTGCTGCAACTTTCAATGATTTTACAGTTGAAGACCACCCAGCTGAGCAGTGGGTTACCTTAAAGAGGAAGTTTCAAGATGATGAAGACATCAAAATTGAAGCAACAATGTTTGATGGTTCGGTTCCTATTGCCCCCAAATCTGGAGATGAAAGTAATGAAGATGTGCGGCTTCACATTAGCTTGCTAGTGGACATATGGAAGAAGGGTGGGTGTGATTCATTGGAGTTTGTGTGCTCAGCCTGGCCAGATTCTTTGGAAGTTCAGAGTGTCTATATTTTCAAGCGAGAAGGATTGCAACTGTCACAGCCATATATGGGACCCAACGTTAAGTATGTTACTTCTTATTGCTTGGACACCCTTTGGCTGGCTATGTTTTTTTTTTGGAATTGACTCTGCCTAATTCTGCTTGTGCCTCACCTGACCCCACACAAACATAAGCCTTGCATGTGCACCATGCTCAATTTGTGAACCGTCTGATGCCTAATAATTTTCAGGGCACTGGTTTTTTGGTTATGCATTATCGTTGAAATGGACCGACTTTTTTAGTTGAGTATCCTAGTTATGTTATTTACTAGGTATGAGCTTTGAATGTTATATAAGTCCATCCCTTGAAAGTCCTTTTGGGTAAGTTTTGTTAGGTTATTCATATAAGTCAAATATAAAGACATAAAGTTACAAGTTCATATACTACGTATAAGATAATATTCCTCGATAATCCTCGTATCAGATTGAACTTTTATAATGAAATCTCAAGTCTAAATATGGAATCAAAGTCGATCAAAACTCAAAAAAGCAATCAATCTGATAAAGACATTAAACAGCACACAGTTAGGCCTAGAACTACTCATATCATGTTTACCTTTTAAGACAAAATTAAGTCCTAATATCATATTGGAACTCATTCCACTTAAATGAGCACATTGATTTGACTAAAGCACGAAAAAGGAACATTCATTTGAAGATTGGTGCATCCAACTAGGGGCGGGCATATCAGTTTCGGTTCAGTTTTTCTCAGTTCTCGGTTCAGTTTGGGACGGGTGGAAAGGATGACTACCAAACGTAAAACAGTCTATGTTTCACTTTGATTTGGTTCGGTTTAGTTCGATTTGGTTTGGTTTGAATTTGTTATGTTTAATGATATATGAATATTTTCCTTACCCCACCGTAGGTGGCAGCCTTTGCGGCACTGGGGTAAATGAAAATGAATGATATATGAATATTTTATAGAATTATTTTAGTTCGATTCAGTTTTATTTGTTTTTTATCGGTTTCAATTCGATTCGATTCGGTTTAATACGGTTTGTAAGAAGTGCTACCAAACTCGAATCGAATTGCATTAGGTTCGGTTTCAGTTTAGTTTTGTTTGGTACGGTTCAGTTATGTTTAGTTCGGTTTGGTACGGTTCGGCTTAGTTCAGTTCAGTACAATTCGGTTTGGTACGGTTCGGTTCAGTTCGACCACCCTTACGTCCAACAAGTCGTCATCATGTGCGGCATGTCAGGTCATCTGCACCGGCCAAATATATAGATACAAATTCATATATAAGTCCTTGAACTTCTCCTATCTTGTTAATCTTTTAGCATTGAACCACAATCATAATACATATTTCCCGATCTATCACATCGCACCAAAGTGCTCCCATCTTGGGATCCTGATTAGTAGCCATGTGAGACAACTCATTGGTGTTCATGTAAAAATTGTCGCTAGGGGGTCTTGGGAGGTAATGTCCATTCACATGATCTCGTGCTGAGGAATGTGGTTGCATCATGAGCTTGAGGAGGTGGGTTGACTAGACCGACCTGCAAGTCTCTAGGTGGAACAGAAGCGTCAAACCGTGCAGTGTGGGGTACGGAAAATGAAGAGATAACCCATGGTTGTTGCCATGGGAACCATTGCGGAATGGTCCATTCAGGGCTACAAGGACGCTGCTTTGATTGGGACCCACCACTGTGGTTATTACTGTGTCCACCTCCATGATTGCTGTCGGGCCTGCAACCTCACTATCCATTTTTGCTGCCACAGCCAGTTGATGGCAAGGCGGATGCAGATTGACCGGTGGTGCATACAAGCCGTGTGGGTATCCTCTAGCGTCAACATGGATCGGGATTGGGCAAAGGTTGGTAACAGAATAATGTTAGTAATAACACTTTGTACTGTGCAACTGTTCAGAGAGGCGGAGAGGCCAACATGAAGGTGTCTGAGCCTCGAGAGCAGATGCTGGTTAGTTGATCAGCAAGAGTTTTGAGGGTCTTGCAGTAGGCGGAAAAATTATTAGGAAATTTGTCAAGACTTGTAGCGAAAGCTCATTCTCAAGTAAACGGCTCAGGTTTGTTTTATTATGTTGAAACTTGAAAGGTATCAGCTAACCGCTCCCATGTAGCTTGTTCTGCTGTTTAACCCGATTCGATGGTTTTAAGAAGATGCTGAAAAATTATTCCACCCATCCACTATGAGTTTGCAGAATGTTATTTGCCGGTTGTGGCGTTAAGAACAGCTACTGCAGAGTTGTCCACTGTGTCGTCTTCATCTTCAATAGCAAACAACGGATCAAGAATGTGATCAATCACGTCATAAGCTTGAGCAGTGGTTTTGAACAACGCAACCCAAGAAGTATAATGATCGGTTTCAAGATCTAGAGTTATGGAAGAAAAAAATGCAGGTAGACTTGTGAACTTAATTTTTCAACAATGCATATGAATGCCAGAGAATTGGATTGTCATATGGTAATATGTAATCTATGTAGAGGTTGTCAAAGCTACTGCTGCAGGGACTGCCAATCTAGGGTATTTCAACAGCCAAGTCATCCAACTTGAAAACAATTTGCTTGCACCTTCAAAATTGTTAAGAAATACACATATACTACCCTATCATATATGAGCATCAGAGCATGTGTAATAACAACCTAACCCAAATAGTATAATTAGCTTTTTCCAGTTTTAGAGTTACGGGAGTAAAATTATGGAAACAGTGAGAGCAGAATGATAGCTAGAGGTAGCTGACCGCTAGAGAGGTGGGAGAGAGGGGTGAAGTTATAAGAATCCAGACAATACAGCCCAATTTATTATGGTATCAGCATCTGGTTGGTAGTAGTTTGTAGGTCACCCGCCATTGATGGTTCTATTTAAGCCCATATGTCCACCCTTCAATCTAGATTGGGTTGAATGGGTGGTGGTGGTGGTGTTGAGTATCTCACGTCTATTGTTTACTGAGTTTTAGTGTGACACATAAGCACAAGATAAACCTCGCCTCTTAACAATCCTTTTGGTGTCAGTTCGTCAATCATAATTTACAAGTTATCCATAACTGATGCTTGTTTTATTTCAGATTGCATGTTTTTTTTTTCAAAATTCTGTACCATCAGAGATTTGGTTCAAGTTTTTGTTCACGGTGATTGTTTTCAGGAATTTGAATAATAAGCTGCAGGATGGAGTGTATGAATTCTTGGAGAGAAGGGGAATAGATGGTGAACTTTCTGCGTTCTTGCACAATTATATGATGAACAAAGATAAAACCGAACTTATTCGGTGGCTGAGAAGAATCAAGTCTTTTATAGATGAATGATTATGAAAGCAACTTATTTACCTACTGGATTTGTTATGTACAGAGTATGTCTGATGAACTGATACAATTGTGTTAAATCTGAATCACTATTGTCTGTTGCTTTTTTGTTTTTTCATTGGCTTAGAGTTTAACCTGTCAATGGATTGGTCGAGAATTGGGACCCACTTCCGACCCACAACCATCATATATTATGGTTGGAACACACAGTATCGTACTGAGCCTTCTCATGCATGTGTATGTGAGTGAGAGAGCTCTTTTATTTTCGAAAAATGAGTTTAGTGTTTTATTTTGTAAAAGAGATTAGGATTTTGACTTCAATATTACTAAAAGGTGGATAAAGGTCAGAAAAGTTGTTGTTTTTTCAAAAATTGTGACTAGCAAGTAGCAAGTATTATTGTGTTAAGGTTACTGAATTATACTCAGCTCAGTCTCTAGTGACATCGGCCACAGTGAAATTGTCATTGCCCAATGACACCTGACACCGCCACTGTCCAATGACTGCCCCGTCTCCGCCAATGACCGCCGCCACCCTACTTCATTCAGTGACTGTCGCTGCCGCTTAGCCCCCTCCATTGCCCCAAATCTGCCACAACCTTGATCTAGTCCTCTCCCCAGCCCTAGCTTAGATCCATCCACCTCCCTCATCGCTACTGCACAGTCCATAACCACGTTGCCTCGGCTGTGAAAGCCACCTCCCTAGCCCCTAGTTGCCGCCGCTGGTTAGTGGTTACTGACCAACATTTCTCCCACCACTTCCCCCAACCAACCAATACAAGACCCCACCGCGGCCCCCGCTAGCCCTTTTGGAAAATAAGAGAAATGTGTAATGGTAATGTAGAGGTTATTCTTTCAAATATATTTCACATAAATATTAGGGGCAGATTTAACCAAGCATTTCAGCCCAACTGGTTGTGAGATACCGTGTCTAGTGAGAGGTCTTGAGTTCAAAACCTGCTAGGCACATAAGGGTTTGAAACTCAATAGAGTGAGTTTCAACCCTGATTACTCCAGCCCCTAGCCACCGGAGTAGGGGGCAGATTTTTATACTAGTCGGGACGCACGTGTCTATGTGGCATTTTTAGTGAATGAATGAGCTTAATTAAATGGATGAGAATATCCGAATATGTTCTGCAATTAGAAATACATCTAAGAGTAACTGCAATATAGCTCCGTTAATAAATCAAATACCACACCAATTTATACATATTCACTCAGTCAATTCAATTTTTACTGCAATTCAGCACCGTCAATATATTCACTCAGCAATTTGTTTTTAATTAAAATCTTACTTTTATTATTATACATCTTTTTTTTCAATTTATTTTTTTTGCGAATAATTATGATTCAAAAAGTAAACCATTCCAATGTAAAAATACACACATTTGGATTTTATTTTTTTCTAATGTTTCTTCAGACCTATTTTAAGAAAAATAACCGAAAGATGTAAAAAATGATGAGATCTTGATTTTTTAGCATTTGAATTTATTTGAGAAATTTTTGAATCTGAAAAACCTCAAGAAGTTGAAACTTCATTTTTTTAAATATTTTTTATATATGCAATATTGATGTCATATAGATGATTGTAAAAGTTATAAATTTAATATACTTTTTGTAAAATTTGGAGTACAAATAAAAAAGTTATTATATGTTTTAAAAAAATTGGGGTGAATAGCTTATCTAATTTGCTCCTAAAGATGCTTACAACCCACTTTGACATCCTTATATTCAGAGTAATTTTTGGGGTGAAAAACTTGAATTACGACTTATTTACTCAGGGTTGCATTTATTTAGCCTAATGATGCAACTTAGATTTAATGCAGTCCACTGATGGGCGTAGCTCAACTGGTACTCGAGTAGTGAGGGATTGCCATAAGGGTTAGGTACCGGGTTCGAATCCCGACAACTGCGATGAGAGGTTACTATGCTAAAAATATGCATAAGGCCTTTGCAAGTACCGGGGACAGAGTTCCACTCTCTATCTGTCAGATTGAGATTAGAGTCTAATTTACATCCTCTCAACGTACCGTCCGGTCGGGGTTGGGGGGGCCTCCGGGATGGGGTGTCATCCTTCTTAGACAGAACGCACAACACCCCCCAAATGTTTGAAAACACCCAGCCCAAGTGTTTGAAAACACAGCAGGAGGAGGAGTCATCTTCCTCGCAGGGAAGACGCCAGAAATCGGCCAGTGCAGGGGAAAGAGGCCTACCTCGACTGGCGGGTGAACGATGGCGGCGGTGCACTACTTCTGGGATAGCGAAGGTCAGTGATGGGTTGGCGGCAGCGGCTGCTCCTCCTTCTTCTCCGTTTTCCGTCTTTACGGTTAGCCCGACGAAACTCCGACAAACTCGTTCTCCGTCGTTTCACGACCGTTTTCAACGATTCTTTCGTCGTTGGATTCCTCTCTCGAAGCGGAAGGTTTCTAGAGTGTTTCCACGGTTCGGTTTTGGCTAAAACGAAAGGTCGTAAACAGGATGTATACTATAATATGAATATATCTATATGTATGCACGACTGAGCTTTACTGGGTGTGTCATCCTGTTGTGTTTTCAAACACTTATAAGTCGCCCAACCGTTTGGCGACTTACCTATTAAATAAGCAGTCGGGTCGGTTTCGTTAGACAGAACGCACAACACCCCCCAAATCCCCCAAAGCTGCAGCGACGAAGGACGAACGACGAGCGGACGAGAGCCACTCCAACTCCGGCGAACCTCCATCTCTGGAGAAGCCACCTTGCCAAGGACTCTCCACCTCCATCTTCTTCAATACTCTTTCTTCTAGGTAAATCAAAGTCAATTTTCTTCTCATATTAAAGTTAGGGTTTTTAGAATCTAAAAATTTCGAATTTTTAGATTATGAATTGATTTGTGAATTGATTTGTTGTGAAATGTGGATATGTATGATATGTTTAGTTTTAATGTTGAATTAAATGTAATATTTTGATGTTGTCGTGGATTTGTTGTCTATTATTAATGTGAATTTTAATGGGAAATTGTGATTTATTTTTTATGTAATATTTTGGCATTGTTAGGTGTATACTTATCCTATAAGATTTGCTTAAATATGATAGTTTTTAATATGTTCTTATGTGTATGAAATGATTAATTTGGGTGTATAAAATGTGTATATTAATGTGTACTCATGAAAGTTTGACATGTATTGTTATTAGAATATGGATTTCTTCAACTTCTCAATCGTGTGTCATTGGGGAGGGAACTAATTATAATACTCCACAATTGATACTAACGGTGCATGAAAAAACATTATTAGTAAAATATTAATTAAAAAAATAAATTAATACAATAGTAAAAATTAAGTAATATCCTTTTTCTTTTTTGTAGGCATGGATGTGTCAACGGATCCTTGGCCGAGTGATCATTTTGTCCTGACATTGCAGGCCTCGCACGAGAGTGATGATGTGTGGCTTTGCTTCGATGTTCAGGTGGATAGGTGCCGCGAGCACCTACGTGGTTTGTCGCATGTGCGGGTGGACAACAGAGTACTTGCACATGTTCGTGCTGCGGGTTTTCATGGTCTGCATAGATTGGTGGCTATTATCCCTCTCGATAGAGCGCTAATCACTGCTCTTCTTGAGTGTTTGAGGGAGGAGACACGTACATTTCACCTCCCTGTTGGTGAGGTGATAGCGACCTTGGGATATGTTGCTGTCTGACTGGGTTACAAGTAAATGGGAGAGCTGTTAGGTACTGTTTGTCGACAGTGGGTTGATGAGTGTGAGCATTTGTTGGGTGTTAGTCCCCTTCTTCGAGCTGACCTTCAGGGGTCATCTCTGAGGATGCCATGGATGAGGGAGCATTTCGCTATTCTTCATGCGTACGCTGATGAGGTGATGATCCAGCAGCATGCACGAGCATATATTTTGATGATGATGGGAGCTTCCATTTTCGCTGACAAGAGCAGAAATGAGGTTCAGGTCCTGCACTTGCCTATGCTAGAGAGGTTTGATGTAGCAGCACAGTTCAGTTGGGGTAGTGTCACACTGGCTTATCTCTACAGACAGCTGTGTCGCGGCAGCCATAGAGGGAGCACAGAGGTTGGAGGATTTTTGCTTCTTCTCCAGATTTGGTCATGAGAGTACATCCACATCGGGCGTCCCATTATAGTGGCATACCATGGCATTGATGGACACCCGATGCCTGATGAGCCTCCACGTCTCCTGGGACCACATCATGTACGGGGCGAGACCCTCTAGGCCATCGGTATGTTTTCAATCGTTTCAATTTATGTTATTGTATGTTGAATATAAATATATTAATAATATTCATATTAATATATGTTACATGAATGGTTAGATGGTTATTTGTTGATTTATGTCGCACATCATCGACTTCTGGGCTCGTTGTGTACAGGGATGCGTTTGATCGGATGTCTGAGAATCAGGTATGGTGTGCGTAATATAACATTAACTATAATATGTGTAGCAGAAATACTAATTTTGTATCTTTATGAAACAGATTACATGGATGCCGAATACAGCTGAGATATTTGCGGAGTTACCCCCGCTGGACGAGAGCATTCTCACATATGGTGAGCACGTCCGTTGATATGTTTTGACATTGTTGAGCTTCATTTGTCTAATCGTGTATTGCAACAGTTTGGGTATGAGCAGGTCATTTCAACACCTATCGACACATATGTAGACCTTCATAGGTTGGATAGGCGTGGGAACCATACAGAAGATTGGGCACTCAGACATGTCCGATACGTCACTATGTGGGAGAGGCGAGTTGAGCTTGTTGTGACTGGGACACCGACATTAGTTGTCACGCCCCGGACCGCATCCGAGCCACGTAGACAACCGCCGTACAACCCGATAAGAACAACAACAGTTCATCCCTATTGAGTTGTACAAGGCGTCCGATTTATTCTATTGCCAAACCGATTGGTAAACACATACAATCAACATCAATATCATAAACAATCAAATGCGGAAAATAATAAAATGTTTGATACTTAGCCACACGTGGCAAACACGGGCACGCAGGCCCCCAACTGTTTTAATGAAAATATTGTTCAAAAATCCATGAGCGGTTTATACATTTGAAATAAGAATGGAAGCACGAACCACGTCTTCCTTCTCGATCAGTCACCCTAGGCAAAGGTGCAGGTAGTAGGACTCTAGCCTCAACCTGAAAAATGTGAGGGCCCCCGGAGGGGTCAGTACTCCATAGAAGTACTAGTGACAAGCAGGCTATATGAAGAATAACTAATGTTTCAGACACGAGACCCAAAAATAGGGTGATATATACATATAGATGTCCCTCATCCACCCGATGATACATACTGTATATATACTCGTAAAATACTCAACCCGTAGGTCATTTACCTTAAAGAGTCTTTTAGAGATA